TGTGTTTAATCGGAACAGTTATGATGGAGGCAATTATAAGTTGCCCTAATTCACATAAGGGAATATTAAAAAATATTTTGCACATATAAAATGGTCTTTTAGCATAGCTATGGGTTACTAACACAAACAGTAGCACCACATTTGTAGATCTGTTAGGAAAATGTAACATTAAACAAAATTTTGCATGACTCTGGCCTTCATTCTCCACATCACAAATAAAGTTTTATCAAAGGTCGCACAACGTGTTCTCAAGGCTGTTTATGCAATTAATTAGTTTTGCCAGGCTCTGTGTCGTGCTTAATGAGTGGCAGTAAATCAGGCCACTGCACTCGGAACATTTTATCTCATGCTATGCAGGCAGATGTCACTCATTGTAACAGCAGTGTTGTGATCTTCTTTTTTTACTTTTTACTTTTTTTTTTTTACTATTTCTTAAAAAAACATGGTGCAGAATAATGAAACATATCAGGTTAGAGAACTTGGAAAAAATAACAAGCTACCAATTAATCACAAATAATATTGAAATGAATGTATGAAACATACATTTTGTCCAAAGGTTAAATTGTTGGGGATAAGGAAAGTAAAGGAACTTCCAAATCCAAAGTCCCTGCTGTATTCGCACGACTCTGAACCACTCTGCAAGTTGAATGTAACCCTGGTGAGAAAAAGCAAAAACAAACAATTTTTTTTAGAGACTACATAATTGTTGTGTTTAAAACTATTCTTGGAAACCCAAAAGCTGAACGAGATGATATGGAAAACAGTCCTTACTTTCCATTTTTTATGAGGGAGTAGTTGGAATAATGAAACGGTTGAATTATTCCAAAATTGGCCACAGCACTGGAGACATTCACTTCTGCGTTCTTTCCATTTACAAATCTAAAATAGAAAACACATCAACACAAATCATTAAAATGCGAACACCTCTGTCATCCTCTGTGGGTCTGTGGTTCAGCTTTATAGATGATAGAAAAAAAGCCACATAAATTCTGAAAGTAAGTTTTTCATTTTTCTCGGTGAAATGATCAATCAAGGGCTTTGCTGTCCGCTCATCACATAGAGTCACGCTCACCGAATTGCATTGTTTCCCTCTTCTGGCTTGGAATTTAAATCATCAATCTGAAAACAAAAAGTAAATGATAATTATGAGTCTTCTTGTGTGTATTTGCTTTCATTTCTGTGTGTTTGTAACTTACCTGCACCCATTCTTTGTTGAGGTCTAAGGGAAGAAGAAGTTTTTGCCGCTTTCCTTTGGTGAAGGAAATTCCTCTATGCACTGTAGTGCTGCCTGCTGTTGCCAAAACAGTGATTTGGTCCGTATCAAATACAAAATATTCATCACTGACCTACAAAACAGAGAAGGCGCAAAAGCAAAGGTTTTATGACATGTATATAAATGGTAGTTAAGCTTGCATCAGATTTTGAAAATATTTCTAATATGTTCATGTCAGTTTTCATTAATTTTGGCTGTTACTAGTTAGATGAACTACCTGAGCTGGAGCAAGAATTGCTGGCTCATTGTCTTGCAGCTGAACCGTGACTGTTTTATTGCCCATGTTGAGTAATTTTAGCTGAACTTGGGAGGCAGATGGGAAGACGGGCAGGGTTTTCTGAAAATGAAACAAATTATGTTCTTATGAACCGCAACAACAAATGTTCAAATATGAAGAAGACGAACATACAAACAGTACATTTTTTGCAGTAAATGAAAAGACATGCACAGGAATTTTCATGACTTACATCAATTTGAAGCTGGACAACAGCAGCGCAGACAAAAGCAAGGGCTGCCAGGATCATCCCCACTGTCATTCTTTTCAGTGGTCTGTTGAAGTAACATGAAGATTTATTGCTGAATTGTATTAATAAAAGCACCAAATGCCTTAGACTCAACACATGTTTATTCTGCAAAAACAGCATTTACAACCTCTACAAAGATAATATATCTTTGATTTAGAATGTAAGCTTGAGCTCATGATGGACAGAATTTTTGTTTTTAAACAAAAGTCTGCTCAGTGATCGATTGGTAGTAAAAAGAAAAACCTGGCACAGTGCATCCATCACTTACGTGAAGTTCAGGCCACATTTTTTGATCAGAGGATATATCAAGCTGTCCATAACAGGCACCAAAGTCAGAATCAGGATGGGGTTGACAGTCTTTAACAAAAAGAAACAACAAAATAAGCTTTGTCTACTGAAGTGAAATGCATGAGTCCAGGCCTGCATGGTTGTGTCCTTTAATTACCTGCATCTGATCAGGTTGTATGACCAGTAGACCCTGCAGACAAAAAGAAAACACTATATTGTCAATAATCATGCATCATAAAAATGAAAAAAAAAAAACTGTTGGTGTTATCATGGAACTTACAAAATCTCCATTCATTGTTGTAGCTTGCAGAGTCCATCTTGAGCCCTTTATAAAAGATGCAAAAATAAATTGCCATTTGTACCGAAAACATCTGATATTACCTTTAAAAAGAATGTTTAACAATAAGCTACCTTTTGATCAAACAGGGTCCAGAACATTGGCAGTGGGATGTATAGAAAAAGAACCTTCAGCACCATTTTGATCTGAGCGATGAGTAGTTTCTACACCACATACGATAGAGAATGTTTAGATGTTATCAGAAACTGAAGAAACACCAAGTGACAATCTCTTGAAATAAATCTTACCTCATATTTTTCCTCAGCCCAGTCCATCCAGTGCTTCCTCTTTGGGTACTGGTTGCCTCTGTGTCTGTAACGATTTTTAATTGCAAACTAAAGAGAGAAAAGACACACAAAAGAAATCTTCTGATGAACATCTAGAATTACTTCTGACGCCGTATAGTTTATAACGGGTGTCCATTAACGTGGAATATGCTGATTTTACTGACTCACCCCAATACATTTACACACGTCCAACATGATGTTCCCCTGTGGTTTGGCTTTGTAGTACATGCCACTCCCCAAGATAAACACCACTGTTAACCAACACCACAAAATCTTTTTACTCACAATCCATTAATAAAAAATTTACATTTTTTTGTATCATATATGCATCAAAATTGTTTAAACATACCAAGGGCAACCATCATAAGTGCTGCAGGGACACCAAAGGCAAGAGAATAACACTTCTGTTTAGAGTAGATGCCACAGTTCTGAGCTGCAACAACATACAATCAACTGTTAGTCCAAACTCCCTGCCATGAAGTACCTCTTAACAGTGTTGATTACAAGATTATGGCACAGTCCTTCATAAAATGCTTGATTTATCTACCTCTGAGGATTGGAGTAATAATGGTTGACAAGAGACTTCCACCATTGATGCACAGATAGAAAACAGAGAAGAAAGTTCTCCTTTGCTTTTCCTGCACAGAAATACAGCGATATTTTATTGGTTAAATGTTGAACATCATTTGCAAATACAGATATCAGTGTCAAATAAATATTGTCACCAACAATAATTTTGTCTCTTTTTTAGGCATATTTCGCAGGGTTATTTTGGGATTTCCGTGGGCTGCTGCTTGGAGTGTATTGGTAATTTTCTTTTCTCCTGTACTGATAAAAGAGATAAAACCTATTCTATTTTATTTACATTCCCTCTGGTTTGCTGTTCGCTTGTTCTATTGGCTAGGCATGCACCCCAGTTACCACTGAGCTCCTTTAGTTTCCTGTTTTTCCCCCTGTACACAATCAGAGTGTTTGCTTGATTCTACATATGTTTTGTCAAGAGGTTTTATGTTTTTTGAAAACCCCATTCTTTTTTCTGTTTGCTTTGGTTTCCCTGTTCGTGTGCCTGACTTTAACCCTGGCTTTGCTCAGTAAACTTTGGATTTTGGACTTGGATTTTGTTTTCTCTTCCCTGCTTTGGAGTCACTATCTGATCACAGACTGTCACAGCGAAACTGCTGGCACACGTTTATGGTCCAGTCTGAAAATCAGAAACTGTATGAACAGACACTGATGGCTATCAGATAATCTTCATGGCTCTAGCGCCAATCTGACCGTTCCTGTAGTGCCACCATGAGGCTGCTGTCCACAATTTGCAAGCAAACGACTTCTTTACAAAATAAACACATGTGACACTAAGGGGCCCACTGTGTGTAATTATGGCCATTTTGATTAATCAAGTCAGTAGCTACTTCAACATCAATTTAGTACTCTTGGACATTTTTCCCAGTTGTATTTGAATACTTGATCATCTTCACTGCTCATGATACAGTCTTGCTAATGAAACAGTGATCTTTAGTTTGTCACAAAGCTGCTTATGTAACCATAGACCATTGTCCATAAGCTAAGATCTTTTTATTCAAACTAATGTTCTATAGCTGGCATTGATTTATCAGATTTGACAAAGTTCCCTCTTAAACCATAAAAATAACTTTGTGGCTTCTTCTGCGATCCCTTAGATTTATTTGGCTGGCCACAATGAAGATGGTCCTTTATTTGATATTTTAATTTAGGACCAAATCACTTTAAAACTACTAAGAATATCATCAACTACTGAAAGGATTGTTAATGCCAATTTTACTGCTTGCTTTATAGGGCATTATAACCACATAGGTTGATAAGTCTCACGTCCTTGCCATTTTCTAAAGAGCTGAGAAAAGCACACATAATAAAATAATTAAACCATGGGATGTAGTAACTGCATGGTCAAACACCTGAAACCAAAGGTCAAAGATTAGCGTTCTGGTTGATAAGGAGTAACGAAGTCATCCTACCTGGTGATCACCAAACTGATCTCCACCAAAAGCAGCCACACAAGGTTTGATACCACCAGTGCCCAGAGCGATGAGTAAGAGGCCCACCATGGACAACACGCTGAATGTGAGGAAGAACATGTGGATGAGCAGATTGCAGTGCAGACAGAAATGGTGAGGCCGTCACTTTATGGCCTGCGGCCAAATGATTTATCAGTTGTAGAATTAAAACCTACACATGAAAGGTCATGTTATCTGGAGTCCCATCTCTGTCTGTATCAGTGATGTCGTGGATCGCACTGACTGCCATTGCCACCTGGCCAATGGCATATACGATGGACAGGTAGATGATAGTCCTGTGAGAAGAAGGGTGAAAGAGACAGCAGTGAACAGGCGCACTCTGCCCGTCCAATCCTTTGAAAAAAGCACCACATATTTTTAGTACCAAGTATACCAAGTATAGAATATGTTCTCTTCACCACATGTCAAATTCATCTTAAAACGTGAGCAAATGACTCACTTAAACTTTCCCAACCAGGAGTCAGCCACGATGGCCCCGAGGATGGGGGTCAGGTAGCAGAGAGCCACAAAGGTGTGGTAGATGGAGGTGGCCAAGTCATCATCCCAGCGTAAGAAATACTTGAAATACAGCACCAGAACAGCTGGGAAGAAGCAGGGAAAAACGAAGGTTTCCTCTCATTTCACAACTGAAAAACAGCTATGTTCACTGTGAACTCCAAAATGTCCATAGTGTTAACTCAATGAGGATATGTTTTATTCATATTTGTTGACTTATTAGAGTAAAATGTTCAGCTGTTGCACTCCTGAATATCTATTTTACCTGCCTAGAATAAAAATAAAACATTTGAATTAAGAAAGGAAAACTACTGTTACAAAGTTGTCAAGGTTAAGAGTTTACATGAATCGAGTTAACATGATGGAAAAGCCGCTATGTTACCGCTCAGGTTTCTACCACTCATAAATCTCACTGTCCACCTAATTCTGTTATCTAGTTTTTGTCTTTGTGTTTCCTGCTTAAGCTTTCCCTGCTTTTGCATTGTTGGATGCATCAAACTTACTTTAGTTAGAGTCTGAATTGAATTTTTCTTCATGAGTGAACTGTTTTTGCAAAAACGTATGGGTTTGCAGTGAAATGCAGTGCTCACCTCGCATTCCATAGTAGGAGAACCTCTCACAGAACTCATTCACAACAATGAAGAAGATGCTGAGGGGGTAACCACACACCTCTTTGCTCTGGTTTGGAAAAACAACAACTAAACATTTAACTCTTAAAAAGTGGTGGAGGAAATATTTGATAATAGTCATGGTGAGATTAAAACACAATTCCATTTAAATTAATATTAAGACTGATTAATTAATATGAGATTAAACAAAAAGAGAGACTCATACTGCATGAACAGCCCATACAATGTCATTATGTACATCATAACTGGAGTATTAAAATGACACCAATTTTGCCTTTTTAGCGTCACAATCAGACCAAACAGTGTAATAATTTTTGCAAATATATTATGGCCAATGCCTCTTTTCGTTAATAGAATAATTATCAAAATTCACTAAACTATGAAAAAAGAACACATGAGATTGGTGTAGGATATTATTTTCATTTTTCCTCAACAATACAGAAGAATTGTATATACTGGAGAAACGTGCAAGACGTTTTGTCGAAAATATCCACCAAATAAACTGAGACCACAATTAAAAACTGAAGTCAGTACTTTACCGTTCCTTTGCTTCTTTTTCCCTTTTTGGGATCTTCCTTGTCTGTGAATAGAATACATATTAATTCAAGCAGACTGAAATATTCTGCAGGTAACAGGACAAAATTGGAGCTTCCACTATCTCTCTACCGTGATTTCTAAAATCTTTTCCTTCAACGAAGTCATTTAATATTTTGACATTAAGAATTTGAAACTTAATTAATTTCAGTAAATTCAAGAAAACTTTCTTTTCTGAATTCATTATTACAGGCTTGTGGTGGTTGTTTATGTGAATTTTAACAAAAGTAGTCTCACCTGCCATGATTTCCAATTAAAGCTACTGCCTGCTTTCTTTAACACTGATATTCCTCAGGATCTCCTATAGGGTGTCGCAGATTAGTTCCCTCTCTGTTCACTGGTGTGAGTGAGACTGCCTCACATAATATTGCTTCTCATTAGTTTGTCTCCACTCTGCTGACTGGGTTGCTTTTATGACAGGGAGGGGACGTAAGATACCGGAGATAGGGGGTCATGCGTGTTCTTTCCCTGTAATGTAATACAAAGTATAGCCTGATAACTGAGCTGAATGTGAGAATTTAACAAGACAAAAAGTCTCATAAGTGCAAGTGCGGAGAAATTAGTGTTTTTATTTAAAAGATAAGCATTAGGGAACATCTTTGTGTACAGCAGAACAGTGACCTGTGTTAAATTTAAAATAAAAACAAAAATTCTGCCCACATATATGTCAATTTCTTTAATATTTCAAATAACGCATAAAATTTTAAGCTTCATATTTCTTCCACAGTAGGCGTGTCTTTTCCCCACACCTCATCGCTTTGGCAAAAAGGTGGACATAATCCTTACAGTGTATGATCCCTACACAGCAAGATGCTTTGCTAATATTGCACACACTCCTTTTTTATATACATTAATTAACAACTGGAATATACTTTTGCAAGCAATGGCTTTAAACATTAAAAAACGCTCCCATTCTAAGACAATGAAGTGGTTTAAGACTGAATGCTAAAGTAAGTCATATGCGGCCCTTTTGCCAAAATTGCCTTTTGTGGAAATGTAACTTCACGTACAGGAAGATGAGCGCCAATGTATGCAGCATATACGGTTCATCAAGACATCAATACAGTGGCTTATAAAAGTGGAATACTGTACATAAAAACACAATGTAAAACACTATAAAAAAAAGACAGACAAAAATGGGGGTAATTTAATGACAAGTGTGTTTAAAATCCTAACAGGAATGTCTGCATAAAAAACACTGCTCCATCATTTAAGGTAGAAACAAATGAAAATGAGACATATTATGCCTCACCAAAGATTCTGATCTTACAAAAACAGAAACAAAATGTGAGTCCTGACACTTTTGCTGCGTGTCTCATCTTGTCAGGTGTTGCCTCGGTGCTTTCTTGTGAACAGCCAAACCCCAATGAATCACCATGCCTGTTGTATATGTCATAGAAGTCCAGTGCTTCTCTCTTTGTTGATGAAAAGCTTCAGGCTGCAAAGCAGGGGGTGAGATCTGTTTGTGCTTCCAGCAGATTCCCTTTAAGTTGACTGAGTCAGTCAATGGGACACCGCTGGCAAGCCTCTTTGGCGATTGTGAAGGTCCCTGACAGGACTAGCATCATACCACTGAGGAGGAGCTTGGGATGCCCTGGATGGTGGCACTGGTTGGTGTGCCACTAATGGCATTGAAGATGTGAAGTGAGTCTGGGAGGACGCTCTTCATACCATCTTCCACAGGACAGATCTGGAAAAGAGAATGTGTGGCACGTGTATGAGACCTTCATCAAGATTAATACGAAAGTCAAGTCCATTTTTGGAATGATTATGATTGGGAACTTTTGATTAAAGCTGTTGATGCAATAAATACCACACTCTTGTTAATACGAGCTAAGTTTAATATAAGGGCCACTGTTGTACACCAGTTATATTGGCTTAAAAAATAATGAAAATGGGAGGAATTGGTTGACTAAAAAGAAAAATCTAAATCTGTGTAGATGTAGCACAACCTCTGCTGATCTTCAGTTAATATGGATTGTGTGTCAGTTGTTTGAAAACAGTGTGTCGGCAGAAGTAACTTAGACATTTTTAAAATATGTACAAATACGCACACACACACAAAAGGCAAACCAAATACCACCAGAAGAAAGTGATCAGACAAACTTTGTATAGATAAATGATTATCTTTTTAAAGCAAAACACATACTTCAAAACTAATAATGCTCATACAAAAATGCTTAGGCAAACAGACAGCACTTTACATGCAAAGTGCATTCCTTATACACATGCGGGAACATGTTAGAACCTCAAAAGAAAAAAACATAAAATGATTGTTGATCCAGCCAGTTGTGCTCTTGAATTAATGGCACTATTAACAACATTCAATAAAGGGAAAAATATTGAAAAATATTAATTGCACAATTTTATTAATTGTTTTGCAGCATTTTCGGCAAAACACCGGATATATTATAGACTCTCTGTAGGAACATTTGCTAAATTGGTGTAAAATAGATATTTATGATTGTCAAATAGGAATATGGTTAACCAAAACACAATTATTGATTAAACAACTGATCAATGTTTAATCGAAATGACTGTGACTAACATCCCATTCGAGGATGATAAGATATGATAATGGACACTGAAATGTGTTTCATATGTAGTGTGCACAGATAAACCACTTGGATATCTGATCAAACATTTTCTCCGATCCCTTCAACAACTGTCAGTCAAGAGGTTTCTCCTCATTTTCGAATAACCACACAATCACCAAGACTTTTCATATCTTGACAAAGCCAATTTCCTATAACCTTTGTCTGGCTGAACCAACAATTAACACTTCCATCTTTATTGCAAACCGATGTGGCTTTACCATCAAATCTGCACATGTCAGCACAAAGGGAAAACAGAGAATGGTGTTATCAGAGCCTTTCATCACTCTATCAGACATTATGGCACTCTGATAACTTTATGTTTTACAGCTTGTCTCAGAGGCAGGTTTACTACTCCCTTATTATTATTATTATAAGAGAGCAGTATTTCACTTACTTGCTCGCGCATAATGATGGATAGCTCTCTGGCCAGGTCCCTGTAGTTTGCTTTCATCTCATCGTGGTACTCCTGTTGGTCCTCCTTAATCAATCGCTCATTGATGCCTAAGCCGTGGCCGCATGCTTCTACAAAATTCCTGTGCACAAAAATAGTTTTGACATGCGTTCAAAGGAGATTGCACCAAGCAGTTTTAGGAGCCTGACATCTCCCAGCTCACCTGAACACCTCTTTCAGCTGCTTGACCTTGTTATCTGGATACTTCTTGGCGCTTGTATCATCAAGGAAAGCTCTGGCATATGCAAGTGGCCCAGCATTTACCTGGGAGGGAATGTCACAGGAATGTCATTTGTTGTCATTTGTTTCTCCCTCTATCTTTCAGTATGTATATATATCTTATGTTGAGGAAATCTGACAGCAGCAAACCTGGACACTGATGCTACCCTGCAGTTTGAGCTGGAGACGGATCATGTCCACCTCGCTGGAGGAGCAGAGCTGGTTGATCTCGGCCACTTTCTTGCTCATCTCATCAATGGCCACCTCAATGGGGCTCAGATCAGTGTGGTGCTGGTACATCACTGCAATCCGTTTCTTCACGTAGGGAAAACAATGCGTGGCTGTGGTAAATGAACAACAGAGTTAGGGACGAGTGGGGTGTCTTGCACGTGCTTTTCTCATATTTACAGATCACTCTCAGCATGCAAGCAGGTGGACTGTACACCTTACAAATGCTCTCACACAGTAAAGATAAGATGACAGCGTAGAACATGTGGATCCTTTGCATCATAAAACTATACAACTGTGATTAGAATAAGAAATGTCCATGAAAAACAGCTGATATGTTCGAACGCTGATCAAGATATTCATGTGCAAGAACTTTATGCTGAGTAAAATCATTCATAAACAATTAGTGTTGGATTTACTCTCATGTGATGATCCAGATAAATATATCTTACTTTTAAGTATAATTTGTGGCATTGAGGAATTCTAGGAATGGCGTTATGGTTATGGGCTTACTTTAGTCAATTTAGTGTGTATTCTGTTACAATCTGATAAGCTATGGAAACATCAAGCAGATTCACTCTCAACTCAACTCTTTCAACTTAATTGTTTTTAACTACTAGATGAAAGCAAAAATGAGGATTTACTGGTCAGTATCGTCCTGCGTTTGCACTGTTCCTCCACACCCCCTTGCTTTTTCCCAGATATTGTGAATGGCATCTCAAAGACAAATCGACGGATGTTGTGGCTCTTTTCGAAGTCCGTCTTCCGGTCGACCAGCTCCTTCTCCTCCAGGTAAGGAGTCACATGTGTGACTTGAATGTATGCATACTTGGAGTCCAGGTCTTTGGGATTGATCTAAAGAGGACACCCATCAGATCAATGCTGCAACTTTCAATTTAAACCTCAAGACAAATTGAAAAATCAACAAGTCTCACCCGCCCAGAGTCCTGAATCATCTTTACATTCTCCTGTCCAAACTTGTCGGAGTAAAGCTTAAGGAGCCTTTGGGATATCTCAGATAGAGGGGTAAATTTGGGCTCTTTATAGATGTACTCCTTACCATCTTCATCCTCAAAGAAGCCCTGTGAGAGATAAAATTCCTATAAATATCATCTTAAATAAACACCAACACTGTGTTAGTCTAATTATAAACAAAAAGTAACAACCACATAAAATATTAACTCAGTTGTGAGTAGGAGTCAATCCAGCACTATTCAACAACATTATTCAATACTCTGCCCAGAACTGAGCACTATGCCTCCAAATTAAACAACCCACTATCTAAGATCCAAGGCAAAAATCCCCCTAAAAAACACTGGTTTCAGATACACTAAAGGACATAGGTATGTGCAGGCTTTCCATTGTCAGTGAGGGCATTTAGATTTGTTAGATTTATCTTGTTTATAAAGGGTAAAAAAGGTTCCATGAACAGATGGGTGAAGCCATGCATTTACCCAGTGAGAGCGGAATCCGGCCATTATCCTCAAGAGCTTTTGACTATGATTAGCACAAGACTTAGGCTTGAGTACAGGAGGAGTTAAAGGGCTAAAAGATAAGCACTGCACTTTGAAATAGCGCTAAAGACTACATTAGTGAAAGAGAACAACACAGCCTAAAACACCACTGCAGACCAAACTCAAACGTTGGCTTTCGTACTGATTTACCTCAACATCTGAGTCAGTAAACTGGTACTGCTACAGGAATGTGAACAACACAGATAAATACAATCAATATCATAGCATAACTATATGAAGACCGTGAATGAATAAGGATTAATTATCATTTAAACTACCATCTAGAAACAGTATGAAGAAAAATGGAGACATGTGAGTGTGACATCTGTCAAACAGCACAGCTGCAGGCGACCACATAAGGGGAAAATAAATCAT